GTATTCGACTACGTTCGGAACCGGAATTTTAAAAAAACACGTAAATGGATAATTTTCATGACATCTAGTGTCACTTAGATTAAAATACATGTATAAAATTGTTTAAGGACATTTTGACAAAAAAAATTATTTAAATACAATATTTCGACAAAAAATTAACTTAGAATAACCTTTTTTTTCAAAATGTACACCTTTTATAAAAAATGCTTCTAAAATAATAATATTTTGCGCTTATATAAAGTAAAGTCTTCTCTCCAGAGAGTCTGAACTATTTTTTTTGAAAAATTCACATTATTTTCAGAGTTACAACCCATTGAAATATTTATCGGCGTTTTTTTTCTTAAAATTGCTCCTCTCTGTTGTTGTAAAACATGGATAAACCCACTTCTAAGTTATAAATTTCAAAAATTCTAGTTCAGCCTCTGTACAGAAGTCTGAGCTATATACGCAAAATATTATTATAATAAAAGCATTTTCCACAAAAAGAGAACATTTTGAAAAGGGGTCATTATATGTTCATTTTTTGTCAAAATATTGTACTTAAATAATTTTTCATTGTAATAATATTCTTGAAACTATTTTATATAAATTTTCTAATCTAAGTGACACTAAATATCATAAATATTATCCATTTATACGCTTTTGCAAAATCACGGTTTCAAACGCAGTCGAATACCTTAATTGTCAATTTTTATAAATAAATTACAACTTAGACGATTAGATTATAACATAATAATTCTCTATATTATACATATGAATGTATTCAAAAAAATTTTTTAAAATATATTTATTGATGTTGCTGTGTATGAGGAGCTTTAAAGCAAAGATAACGCAAAGTGCTGGATTGTTGGGACACATTGAACAAAAATATCTAGTCTCCTTAATTTTTTTCTATACCAGCCGCATGTTTTCCACCAAGCCTTTTAAGTGGCCCGGTCATGGCCCACTGCTCTGAGAAATTTACTTATTTAAGAACCTTGCATTAAATACTTAACGGGAATTTTTTGTCAAGAAATCAAAAAGTATCAATTTTGCATTTTGCTGTCGGTATCGTACTGGTACGAATTGATATTTTTTCTGTTTGGAACGATTACGGTTAGTTTTACAGACAACAGTGGAGCAGCGACTATTTTAGGGGTGAAACTAATTTTTTCATATCTTGCAAGCGAAAAGTATTCGAAGAAAATATATCGTTTCAAGACGATTGGTAGGGGTTTTGTAATGAAAAACAAATATGGATCAGTAATTGTTTGATTTGCCAAAAATATATCGTTTCAAGACGATTGGTAGGGGTTTTGTAATGAAAAACAAATATGGATCAGTAATTGTTTGATTTGCCACGAAAGTGTTGTATTTAAAAAATACCAACAAACGGAAATCATTCAATGACACTTTTCCTTGAAGATCTCTTTCAAGAGGTGATGCATAGGTTTTGTTCAAAAATATTTGCAACATCAACAAAGTATTTTGCAGTGATAATATATATATATATATATATATATATATATATATATATATATATATATATATATATCATAGTGGTAACAAAGACATCCTATGAAGTTTGTTATACTATTGGTAATCATCTGAAGCCGTTTAATGATGCAGAAATTGTGAAAGAGTGTTTTTAAATGCTTCTAAATTAGTGTTAGTGACAAAAATATAAAATATAAAAAATACTAATTAAAAAAAGCAAAACAGAGGAATTATAATATTTTGATAAGTTTCCTACATTTTAAATTTCCAATGCTTTCCTGAATATTTATCTCCCCCCCCCTTTTTTTTTCTCATGTTGCAGCTCGTGTGAAATAACTAGCATACATATGCGGTCCGAGTGAAATAGCTGACAAATGTATGCGGCCCAGCAGAAAAAAAGTTTGAGTACTCCTGCTTTATACACATTTAGCATGGCTTTGTAAACATCCCTTTTTTCTGTGGGAGGAAGATGCTCTAAGTATTGAAAATCCGTTTTATTTGTATTATAGTTGCTCCTGCATTGCTGTCGTTGCCATCAAGTAAATGTATACTAACTGATTCCCTAAATTGACGCATCCTCGTCTTTTTATTCCCTCGATTTCTTTGGTTGTATGTAATCTGCGGGAAGATTTCGAATTAGGATAGAGCTATTTTCTTGCATCAATAGATGGTTTTCCTGTGGTCTGCTAATTATTACTTATCAGTTCATTTTTATTATTTTGCAACTCTTTATAAATACCACCGCCTTGTATGTTTTTTTCCATTAAGGATCATAACACGTCTGTATGAAAATCTGACATAACATTACACATCTGACTGTCTCCAGATGAAATTAGGTAAACCCCTTGTAAAAATAAACACAACGAAAAGAAAATTCTTGTATATGCAGATTTCTATAGAAAAAACCCACTTCGAAATAACTCGTAAGTGACATTCAGCACAAGAATCTTATTCAGTGACACCAGGCTATGAGTTTTCTCTCAGTGCTTTTTTTAAGTGATAACTTATTTAGGCGCGTTTTGATGAAGAGTGAACTTAAATGAAGCGTCAGATTCGGGTGCGTTACGGTCATTCAGCACCAGTCGGAAATCAGTCAAGCGAATTTTCTCGGCTCCTGTCGGAAATCGTGCTCGGTTCGGCAACGCGCGTTTAGTTTTGAATTGAAAACTTTTTAAGTTATTTTTTTTTCTTTTTAGTAAAAATTTCATACACACTTTTTTAGGAGAAATTTTATTTTCTTTATTTAAATATTACTGTCCTGCAGCTCACTTCCACTCAACTCCGGCGAGTGAACGAGAGTAAAGCAAGCGATAACAAAAAAAGATTGTTCTCGTGTAAGAGATTGAAGATAAGAAGTAACGAAACGGGATCTATTTTTTTATTTAGTAGGATGAGCAATTAAGGACAAAAATGTGCCAAAAAAATTAAAATCTGAAATTTTAACGAAGTTAATTGGCGAGAAAGTTGCCAATATTTGGGTTTATATTAGTGATGACAACTACATTAAGGGACAATAAAAGCATTAATTGTGAAAAAGTACGAACCCTCTCCTTTTGTTTGCTTAGAGATTTTAAGAAAAGTAAATGGCTTTCAATGCATAAGTTTTCCTAGCCTTACATAGTTTCCGTTTTTATATAAATAACATAAGCGATCCTTACGTATTATCGCAACGGTATTAGTGACATCGTATGAAAGGAAACACATGGTTGCCAATTCAGGACGTACGACACATGGGAAATCCGAGAGGCGAGTTATTTTGAACGTTGGTATTGTTGCGATAGTACATAAGTACCTTATAAACATATATATTATATAAATATAACCTACATAAGTAATTTACATGTAAATATTTTTAAATAATCAGACTAATTGACATTGTGCGTGTGTGTGGGTGAATCGTATGTACTCATGTATAAATATATAAGAATGCATAATTATATATATATATATATATATATATATATATATATATATATATATATATATATATTTAAACATTGCCCTTTATAGAAAATCAATTAAATAAACAAGTTCACCTATGAATGGATACGAAAAAGAGAACTACTTAATGCCTGTATGCGAAAATGTCGTAAAAGAAAGCGTAGTGCATCCGAACTATTGGATTATTTTCCCTAGAATAAATTAGAAGTTTTGACTTCTATCATGTAGTCATAAGCACACACACAAATTTTTTTTTTTATATAAATAAAAATTACAGTAACTGCTGTTACAATATGATATCAATAACTTACTATTGTATTTTGTAAAATATTATGTTTTCTTTAAAATAAAACCTTGGCACCCACGGCAAGAGGCTCTAAATTTACCTGGAAGTCAATGGACAAACATTTATTATGAAATGAAAAAACTGGCATTAGTACTCGAATTTTTAAAAAACAGTATAGCTTCGGCAAGATCTTCTTTGTTACAGAACCGTAAATCCGATTCGATCAACTTCAGAGCTGAGTATAGTCTTTCTATACTGACTGTAGGAAGAGGAAGAGCTAATACTGTTTGCAGTGGCATAACGGAGAATATTAAAGCCCCCTGCAAAAAGTCAGATTTTGGGCCTCAAAGCTGATATTACAAAGGGTAAGTACTTGGCGTTAATCAGGCTTTGCCCTCCCCCGCGATGCGGGGGTGTACTTCACTGACTTTTAGGGCTACTTCTTTTAACGTTTCAGAATAGGATTATATAAGTTCTAAAAAAGGTGTCTTGAGAGAGCGATAATATTTCTCTATTTCTTTTATTGTGTAGAAATATTCTTCTTACCATAAAAAAGCTCAAATAACTACACTTACCGTAAACTCCGGGCGTATAATGCGCACCCCCTATTTTACGAAGAAATCTGAAATGTTAGTATGCAATGCTCTTATGTTTTGAAGACATTTATTCAAATCATTATCCCAGACTTTTGAAAAAATCGTATATTTCTAAAACTACATCTCTTTTAGTTCATAAGGCAAGTCATTTATTTTAAATAAACAATATTTCTATATGTATAGAAGTAAAATTGTTTTTATATATATATGCTCACACATCTCTTTTGATATTTTTAAAGCAATCGTTTTTATACCTTGCGTATAACGCACACCCGTAAATTTCGATCTTCTTTTTTGTGTTAAAAGTGCGCGTTATACGCCGGATTTTACGGTAATTCTCCTTATGGAAGTTCTTAAATAATATACAAAAGAGCATCTTTTCTGCATTGGTAGGTTTTGAAATTCTGAAAAACAAGTAATATAACAAAAAATTAAAATCAATTCCTACTTAGGTCAACAAAGAAAATTTTTATTTTAGTTAATTTTTATTAAATAGTTACAATTAATATAAATATGTGTATGCCTATGACGGAATCACAATATTAAGTGACAAAATAGAAAGCGATTTTCCTTGCAATTTTCCATTTTATATATAGTGTTGGACTATTTTTTTGGTTTGCTCCTGTTTATTCATTAATTAAACTTAGTGATGCAAAGAAATAGTATAGAGAAAAAAGAAATCACATTCTCATAGATTAGGCTATCCCAGGTAGGATTCGAACCTACATTCTTTGGATTAGGAGACCAACGCGCTATCCAATGCGCTGCAGGAACCTAATGAGCAATTTTCCTTTTTATATATGGTGTTGGACTACGTTTTTTATTTATTAATGATTATTCAATAATTAATGAATTAATTTTTCAAAAAAACTGAATTAACATCAAGTGTCATCCACTACAAGTTTAAAAAAATGTATTTGCACTTGAATGAATGAAGAGAAAATATTTTAAAGGGTGTTTTTTTAGAGGTATAGAACTTTAAATTGCAATAAAACAACAATGTATTATTCGATTGACATGAATTTTTTTTTATTCGAAAGATAGTCTTGTGGCATTACATTTTAAATATGATTTCTGGCATTTGACTGCCACGGCTGGCTCGGATGTAGTCCAATCTGGACGTCCAATTTTCGATGACTTTTTTCAACATTTGTGGCCGTATATCGGCAATAACACGGCGAATGTTGTCTTCCAAATGGTCAAGCGTTTGTGGCATATCTGCATAGACCAATGCCTTTACACAGCCCCACAGAAAATAGTCTAGCGGTGTTAAATCACAAGATCTTGGAGGCCAATTCACAGGTCCAAAACGTTAAATTAGGCGGTCACCAAACGTGTCTTTCAATAAATCGATTGTGGCACGAGCTGTGTGACATGTTGCGCCGTCTTGTTGGAACAACAGCTCCTGGACATCATGATTGTTCAATTCAGGAATGAAAAAATTAGTAATCATGGCTCTATACCGATCACCATTGACTGTAACGTTGTGGCCTTCATCGTTTTTGAAGAAGTACGGACCAATAATTCCACCAGCCCATAAAGCGCACCAAACAGTCAGTTTTTCTGGATGTAACGGTGTTTCGACATACACTTGTGGATTAGCTTCACTCCAAATGCGGCAGTTTTGTTTGTTGACGTAGCCATTCAACCAGAAGTGCGCTTCATCGTTAAACAAAATTCGCTTATGAAAATCGGGAACAACGGCAATCTCGTTTTGGGCCCATTCGACGAATCTACGCCTTGCTTGATCATATTTAAAATGTAATGCCACAAGATTATCTTTCGAATAAAAAAAATTCATGTCAATCGAATAATACATCGTTGTTTTATTGCAATTTAAAGTTCTATACCTCTAAAAAAACACCCTATATTAACGATTGAAAATTTGAACAAGATATGTATATATAGGGAGAGAGTGAACTAATTGTAGAAATTGAAGAAAATTTGATTTACTCTACTAATTAAACTTAAAAATCATTTTGCACATGGACCATTCACGAGATAAAGTTCACACTCTTATATAATACAGCGATGAATCTAAGATAAATGATGAAGAAATAGTAAAACATGACACGATATTTTTGGAAGCAGAGCCAGCAGAAAGAGATTCTAAAAGAGTTTTTGTTTCTCTTCAGACAAAGAGAGAGAAATCTAATAAAATGTGTAATAAAAATTCACCCGAAGTTGTCTTGTCGTATCTTATTTACAAATTGGACAGAATTTCAACTTCAAAAGAGCTGAAAGAGCAGCGTAAGTGCCCAATTGCAAATTTTGCTTCAAGAGCCGGTATTGAAAAGATTATTATCTCTTGCTCTCAGAAATAAATTCCTTTCTGATGAAATATTTACAGCTGAGAATCGAGTCTTTCGTCAACTTCGATAATGTGTAACGTTTTATAGCAAATAAATCTTACGATCTTCCTACTGAAAATAGACTCGTGCTAGTCTCTAAAATAAACATATCGGAGATCAAAGAAAAATCAAGCTATCTATCCCATTGACCCAAGTAAAAATATAATTTTCTGAGAAATATGATTTCTCAGACCGAAGTTCACTCGACAGAGCATGCTTACTTTTTGAACTACCAAAATTCTTTTTGAAAGAATTCAGTACGAAATTTGAATACGTAGCTTGCTTTGTGTTTCCTGGTTCTTTGAAAAAACTAATTCAAAATTAATATTATGAGTAACAAGGCTCAATTATTATAAAAGTCTATAATTTAAAAAAAATTTGAAGCTTTAAAATAGTTCTTTTTGATGTGGATCTGTGTTTATAATTCGAGAGAAAATAATAAGGGACTATTTGCTTAGGTTTCCCGTAACGTGGAGTGCGTTTTTGTTATAGTTGTATATTTGAGTTTTAAAATCTTGTTTGTAATTTTAATTGCTAATTAACTACGTGCAGAGAATAGTAGAAGTATTTGACCACAAGAATACAATGACCATAATGAACTATGCCAGTGTCTCTGTGTTTGAACGTGCGTGGGGACGATTTCCGCTATTGGCTGTATATAGCGACATTTAGCGTGGTCTTTTGATTTGATGAAATTGGTTGATCGTAAATAATACGTAAGTACCGAATTTCCTTATAAATATTGAAAAAGACTTTTCAAATCTTTAGTGGACTTGAATTATTTTTTTGAAATTTTGATTTGTAAGCTATTATTTTATATATGTTGCACAGATTGCGGGGGGGGAATTCGCATGCTAAAATAAAAGTTTAAAATATTGCCATTTGTGCGCTATATAAACATCAAGAGATTTTAAAGAGTTAACACCCCATCGGCAAGAAGACTGCTCTTGGTAAAACCTTTCCGGTCTTATTTCATAAGACTACAAGCTGGTATGCCCGTTCTTCGCACGGGTGAATTGAAAAATAAAATAATAGAAATTGAAGGATAAAGAATTCTTTAATAAATTATACTTAAGGGCAGCGGTTCTTAAACTTTCGATCGCCACAGCCCCCCTTTATGTATCAACCTGATTTCGCGGACCCTAAGATTTTGAACACCCCTCCCTGACTTAATATTCTTCATCTAAATACATGTTCTAGTAGAGCTAGTGATCTAATTTAGGATAGCAGATCTTTCAAATTTTCCTCAAGTCCTTTCAGAGTCTGTTAAAGAGGGAAATCTTAACGTTACAAGAGGGACTTCTCGGATCCCCTGGAGATGCGCTGGAGACTCCAGGGGGTCCGCGAACCAGTTTAAGAACCGCTGCACTATGCGATTTCTACTTTTTAAAAAAGAAAGAGTGAGAAATATGTATGTAAAAATCTGTAAGATTTAAAAAACAAATTAGGGAAAAATTAAACGGCTTTTACTCATAATTGATGCTATCGTCGGGTCCTAATTTCAATTATATATTTTAGTATTGAGGTCTTTATAAGTCTTCCATAACCGATATAATTGCAAAATAAAGTACACCGTAAATAACCTCCGCAGTTTTCATTGCAATGAGAAACAATTGGTATTATTTTATTTACTGAAACGAATGAGATTTTGATTTTCACAAAACTCTGCTTTAAGGTATCCGACTGTGTTCGGAACCGTGATTTTAAAAAAGCGCATAAATGGATAAATGTCATGATATTTAGTGTCACTTAGATTAGAATACATGTATATAAAATGGTTTTAAGGGCATTGTGACAAAAAAAATTATTTAAACACAATATTTCGACAAAAAATTAACTTAGAAAATTAACTTTTTTAAAAATATTCTCCTTTTGTGAAAAATGTTTCTATTATAATATTTCGCCTGTATATAGCTCAGACCTTCGTACAGAGGCTCAACTAGAAGTTTTAAAAAATTCACATTATTTTCAGAGTTACAACAAATTGAAATAATTATAGGGGTTTTTTTCTTAAAATTTCTCCCCTCTGTTGTCGTAAAACATGGATAAACCCACTTCTAAGTTGTATATTTCGAAAATTCTAGTTGAGCTTCTTTACAGAGGTCTAAGCTATATACAGGCAAAATATTATTATTATAGAAGCCTTTTTCAAAAAAGGAGAATATTTTGAAAATGGGTCCTTCTATGTTAATTTTTTGTTAAAGTATCGTACTTAGATAATTTTTTATTGTAATACTATTCTTAAAACAATTTGTGACGAATTTGTACGGCACTTTATGACTAATACTCTTAAGCCTCTTTGGGGATTGTAACTTCGTGTATATTTCCAACCAGCTCTAAAAGAAGAAACCAAGGTATGCAAATTAGTTAAAGTATTTAAGGAGAGTGTTGTAAGTTAACAACAGGCTATTACGCCAAGAGATTGGCTGACAGTGTTCTAAGAAGATTCCAAGTTGATTGTGCGATTAGCGTCTCACGGATCATTAAGCAGGGATCTTCAATTGGAAAATTTGGCACACCTGGAAAATGAGGTAGTAAAAGGAAGGTGAGATTTAAATCTAGATTATCGGCTCATAAGAGTAAATGTATATATATATAAAGGAGAAAAGCGACTCACTGACTAATCACGATATCTCCGGAACTATTAAACCTACAGATTTGAAATTTGGTAGGTAGGTTCCCTTCATGGAGTAGGCGTCAGCTAAGAACGGATTTTGCAAAGATCGAACCCCAAGGCGCGATACTGGGGTTTAAGGGGCGTTATAGATAATTATTTCCATTATTAAACTATTATATGTACAGTCTTGAAACTTGGTACACAGATTTCTTTCAAAAAGTAAAGATTCCCTATATAATGATTTTTACGAAAATCGACCTCCAAGGGGCGTTATGCATAATTATTTCCATTTTTAAACTATTAGACGTACAGTCTTGAAATTTGGTAAGCGGATTCTTTTCATAGAGTAGAGATCCGCCACAAAATAAGTTTTGTCCAAATTGACTCCCAAGTGACGTTGTAGAGAATTAAGGGGCGCTATAGGCAATTAACTCCTTTTTTAAACTATCAGAAGCAAAATCTCGAAATTGAGTAAGCAGATTCCATTCATTTAATAGAGATCCGCTATAAGATGGTTTTTGTGAAAATCGCTTCCTAAGTGGCGTTGCGGGGGCTTAAGGGGCGCTATAGATAATTATTTTTATTTTTTAAACTATTACACGTACAGTCTTAAAATTCGGTATAAGCGGATTCCTTTCATGGTGTAGAGATCCGCTACCAAATAGTTTTGGGGAAAATTGATCCCCAAGGGTCACTGAGGGGGATTAAAGGGCGTAATAGATAAATGTTTCCGCTTTTCAACTAATAGACCCACCTGCTTGAAAATTATAAGGTATGTTCCGTTCATGAACTAGAGTTCCTTTTAC